ATAATTAATAACGAGTAATACCTCAATGTTCGTCATCAGTTGAGAGATGCAATATGATGAAAATGATCTCAGCTATGGGCAACTGGATAGGCAGCTTCATCACCAGAATGTGCCCAGTCATGCATCACATCTCATGCAGAGTTTTTTGGTGACACATCAAATTACCCAGGTGACTCAGCCCCACTATAGCCCAGATTTAGCACCCTGTGACTTCTGGCTTTTCCCAAAACTGAAATCACCTTTGAAAGGGAAGAGATTTCAGACCTATGAGATTCAGGAAAATACAATGGGGCAGCTGATGGCTATTCCAACAAAGGATTTTGCAGTGTTTTGAACACACTGAAAAGAGACGCTGGGAGAACTATGTGAGGTCCCAAGGTTCCTACTTTGAAGGGGACTGAGGCGTCACTGTCCTATATACAATGTTTCTTGTATCTTCTTCAATAAATGTCTCTATTTTTCATATTACAAGGCTGGATACTTTCTGAACAGACCTTGTAAACCATCTCAAGCACTACACTTACCCTGAACTATATATACATGAACAGATAGATCCAAACCAGCATCACAAAGGCTTTTTAAAATGAACTGACATTAGAACTACCATCAGGGAAGGCAAGACAGAACTTGGGAACTAAACCTAATGAGATAAACACCAAAATTTTGCAGTAATACACTCACGATTACCAGGATAAAAGCTAAAAAGTAGCTGACATGGAAAGAATCGAGAAAATGTGATCAATTCTCAAGAGGAAAGAAAATCAACAAATACGAACCTTATGATGGCCTCGGTTGAAATTATCAAAAACTTTGAAGTAGTTATTGTAACTATGCTGCATGAGGTAAAGTTAAATACTTCTGAAATGAATGAAAACACAGTTCTCAGCAGGAAAATAAAAACTATACAATAGAACAAAATAAAGATTTTACTATAAATTACAGTATAGAATTTGGCACAAAAATAGACAAACAGACCAATCTAATGGAACAGAGTTCTGAAAATAAAAACACACAAACTCATACATTCACTTGATACATGACAAAGGTGGCTTTGCAGAACAGCACAAATAAAGTGACGTTTTCACTAAATTGCATAGGAACTGGATATCCATACAAAAACAATACATAAAAGCTTACCCTTATCTACAGCAGATACATAAAAGTCCTTTCTAGGTAGATTTTATATATAAAAATGAGCAGATATAGCAGTAAATTTTCTACAAAGTATATAAAAATATGCTCTTAATTCCAATGTAAGAAACCATTATTTTAAAAACTGAGTCAAGCCCTGGCCTATGTGGACTGAGTGCTAGCCTCTGAGCCGAAAGGTCGCCAGTTCAATTCCCAATGAGGGCACATGTGGGAGGCAACCAATACATGTATCTCTCACATCACATGTATCTCTCACACATCGATGTTTCCCTGTCTTTCTCCCTCCCTTCCCCTCTCTCTAAATATAAATAAGTAAATCTTTTTATAAAAACCAAGCCAACAGTCACTAATCATAAAGAAAAGATCAGTAAATTTAACCACGTTAAACTTAAGAGCCACTGTTCATCAAAAAGCCACCATTAAAATAATGAAAACAAGATACTGGACAGAAGACATCTGCAACACAAATCACTGAAAGGCACCAATAAGATCTTGTGTGTGTGTGTGTGTACATGTGTATGAAACTCTAAACAAATCAGAAAAACAAAGAACTGGGAAAAAGTTTTTTAAACACAACACAAAAAGAAAAAATGAGCATAGGACTTGACAAAGAATCTCGCACACACACTAAATGATATCCCAATAGCCAATTAACACGAAAGATGCTGAATAACCTCAATGGTCATCAGAAAAATGCGAACTAAGCCACAGTGAAATACCATTATACATCCACCAGAATGGCTATAATTAAAATAACAAAATGAAGTTTGTCAAAAATGTGGACTCACAGAAATTCTTACCATACATTGCTGGTGGGAATATAAATCCAGACAACCACATTGTAAAATCTGTGGCATTAATATCTACTACAGTTGACACACACTTTGAACCATTTTGACCCAGACATTTCACTCCTGGGCTTATTCGCACCAGAAACATGCGCAACAAGCCCTATACAGAATTCAAAGTAGCATTATTCATAATATCCCAGAACTGGAAACAACTCAAATGCTCACTGTGATATATAAATTGTGATATATCCATACAATGATAAAACTATGCAATAAAGAAAATGAACATACTGCTATATGCACCTCGAGTAAAAAATCTCACATGCTGAATGGAGGAAACAGGCACAAAAGGATACAAATTATATGATTTATTTGTTAAAATTTAAAAAATAACAGACAAAACTAATCTAATGGTATTAGAAGTTACGACAGTGGTTACCTCTGGGGAAGGAGTGGTAAGTAGAGGGGCAAATGAAGGCAGGCTTTCTGGGGTACTGACTAATGTTCTATTACTTGATCTTAACATCTGTGGTCACACAGATGTGAGTTCTGGTATGTCTGTATTTTTCCTATGAATGCTATACTTCTTAAAAAGTCATGAAGAATATAATTAGTAACTTTCCTGTAAGCACGCAGATGTGTTGTATATCGGAAAAAGCAAATAAAAAATCAAAGGGGAAAGAAAAATTGTCCTCCCTGATATTCATTAACCAGTAATTTTAAGTTTTGGTTTTTTTTTAATCTGTAAAACACCCTGGGTGATGTGGCTCAGTGGACTGAATGCTGGCCCGTGAAGCAAAGGGTCGCCAGTTTGATTCCCAGTCAGGACACATGCCTGGGTTGTGGGCCAGGTCCTCAGTAGGGGATGCGTGAAAGGAAACCACATTTTTTTAAAAAATATATTTTATTGATTATGCCATTACAGTTGCTCTATTCCCCCCTTCATTCCCCTCCACTCTGCATACCCTCTCCCCCACCGTTCCCCCCCTTTAGTTTATGACCATGTGTCTCAAGGTCTTTAGATTCTATATTTCCCCTACCATTCTTGCCCTCCCCCTGTCTATTTTCTACCTACCATCTATGCTACTTATTTTCTGTACCTTCTCCCCCCTTCTCCTTCTCCCACTCACCTGTTGCTAACCCTCCATGTGATCTTCATTTCTATAGTTCTGCTCCTGATCTAGCCATCCTCTTAGTTTGCTTTTGTTTTAGGTGTGGTTGTTAATAACTGTGAGTTTGCTGTCCTTTCACTGTTCATCTTTTTTATCTTCTTTTGCTTAGGTAAGTTCCTTTAACATTTCATATAATAAGGGCTTGGTGATCATGAACTCCTTGAATTTGATCTTATCTGAGAAGCACTTTATCTGTCCTTCCATTCTAAATGAAAACTTTGCTGGATAGATCAATCTTGGATGTAGGTCTTTGGATTTCATGATTTGGAATACTCTCTTTCCAGCCCCTTCTTGCCTGTTAAGGTCTCTTTTGAGAAATCAGCTGACAGTCTGTTGGGAACTCCTTTGTAGGTGACTGTCCCCTTATCTCTTGCTGCTTCTAGAATTCTCTCCTTCATTTTAATCTTGGCTAATGTAATTATGATGTGCCTTGGTGTGTTCCTCCTTGGGTCCAACTTCTTTGGGACTCTCTGAGCTTCCTGGACTTCCTAGAAGTCTATTTCTTTTGCCAGCTTGGGGAAGTTCTCCTTTATTATTTGTTCAAATAAGTTTTCCATTCGTGGCTGTTCCTCTTCCCTTTCTGGTACCCCTATAATTCTGATGTTGGAAAGTTTAAAGATGTCCTGGAGGTTCCTAAGCCTCTCCTCATTTTTTTGAATTCTTGTTTCTTCATTCCTTTCTGTTTGGTCATTTTTTCCTCTTTCTGGTCCACTCCTTTGATTTGAGTCCCAGTTTCCTTTCCATTACTATTGGTTTCCTGTGCATTTCCCTTCATTTCCCTTAGTTTAGCCTTCATTTGTTCCTCTAACTTGTGACTAAAATCAACCAGTTCTGTGAGCATCCTGATCACCAGTGTTTTGAACTGTGCATCTGAAAGTTTGGCTATTTCTTCGTCTTTTAGATTTATTGGCTCTGGGGCTCTGAGTCCTTCTTGAGCCATGTTTTGATCTGTCCATGCCTGTTACATATGAGGAGCGGAGCCTCAGATGTTCACCAGGGCAGGGCCACCCAGGTTGCTGGTTTGTGACGCTGTAGGTGGGGGCGGGGTCAGAGAGGGACAATGGCGGTCCCCTCTGCTGGTTCCCGCCACTGGGGCCTGCACGGTCTGTCTCACCGCTCGCTCCTTCACCGGTTTATCTGCACGCGAATGTGTGTCTGCAGTCAGCCCTTAGTGAGTCCACTGCCCTGCGCCCTCAGTGGGTCCGCCCGCTTCTCCACACCTGGGATCCGCCTACAGCTGCCCGAGCGCCTGGGTTGCGTGCCCGGTTCAGTCCGGTGAATCTTTCCTTCCCGACCCCGCTCTGCTGCTGGCTCTGCCCCTCTTACCGGTTTGGCTGAAGGGTTCCTTATTGTCAGACTTCCTTATAGTTCAATTTTCTGTGGTTTTGGCTGCGTTTTTGTTGCTAAAACTTTGTTGTTTTTAAACTTGGTTGTGGGAGAAAGCACGACATCTCCACCGATGCCTCCATCTTGGCAGAAGTCCCTTAAGTTATTTTTTTTAATCTGTAAAACACCCTGGCTGATGTGGCTCAGTGGACTAAATGCTGGCCTATGAAGCAAAGGGTCGCCAGTTTGATTCCCAGTCAGGACACATGCCTGGGTTGCGGGCCAGGTCCTCAGTAGGGGATACGTGAGAGGAAACCACACATTGATGTTTCTCTCCCTTTCTCCCTCCCTTCCCCTCTCTCTAAAAATAAATCAAATTTTTACTAAAAAATAAAATCTGTAAAATAGAAAAAAACAAACAAACAAACCAACAGTAAGAAGGAAAAAAGAACTGCCCAATCTTCAGGGCAAGAAAAAAACATTACTACATTTTCAAGATTTTGTAATTTAAACAACCCAGTCACCTCCCATGGGTCCCATTCTAAAAACCCATATTTACCTGATGACTTGAATCCTCAGTGCTCTGCTTTATGAAGTCTTCTAGTTCCTGTTTATCTTTCATTGTCTTCTCTAACTGGTCATTTGCTTGCCTTAGCATCACCTGTAGTTTTTTCACCTATGCAATTTTAAATGCCAATTAGAAGGAAATACCAGAATTCTTTTATAAACTGAAAAAATCCGTAATTCCCAACTTTAAAAAAATTTAATCTTTTCTTTCCCTGAAAAACATCATAGATTTGCCAATTCAGGAAAAAGGAAATGAATGATCTAATTTGATGACTATATTATGCTTACTGTTAAGTCATTTTTCACATATATCATTGCATTTTAAATATCTGCTTGTCCTCCTGGGCCCTCTGGTCTAGCACACTGGCTTCATGGACTCTAGTATACCCTGTGCCTCCAATCTACAATCCATGCTAACATCATAGATTTCTTCTAAAACAAAAGTCAAGTCATATTATTATTTCCCTAACTAAAATCCCTAAATGTCTCCTGACATCTTCAGGGTAAGATTAAATCCCTTCAATCATCTCCCTCCCTCAGTGGTCTCATCATGACCATCCTGTAGTCTCCACGCTGATTATTTTATCACGTGCACGCCTACACACATACATTTCACCCAGAAACATGTACTATTTATACTTCCTAGAACACATCACTTTCCTTCATAACTCTGTTCTTTTGTACATCTTTTATTTCCTTGTACACCCTTCCCTCCTTCTTTTCCTAATTTTACTCCAGCCTCTAAAAGAAGTTTAGACCCGCAAGTGTTACACAACTGAGCCCAAAGTTAAGTTAGATGCCCCTGTCCTTCCTCTAGTTCACAGGTGGCAAACACAAGGCCTGTGGGCTGAATCCAGCCCCCCACCTTATTTTATCCTGCCTGGAACCTTGTTTCTACCCGGTGGCAGCACTGAGCTCTAGCTTAACTGTTAAGGAGTAGTTACGTTTATACAGTCTTAAAATTACATTCGGCCCTCTGAAGGCAACTGCGAGGCGTATGTGGCCCCCAGTGAAAATGAGTTTGACACCCGTGCTCTAGTTCTATGTGTACACCTCGGGAACGAACTATATTGAACTGATGGCTTGGCTGGCAACACTGAAAGCTCTTTATGGGCAGTTAATACTGTGTTCTTTCTGTACCTGAATACCCAGGATTCAGCAAAATGCCAAGCAGCAGTTGAAGCATGCATATATGCAGGAAATCAATGCTAATGGCATTTGAAAATATTAAACCATCATTCTAATATGCTTAAACTTACTTTGAAGACTAAGGGAACAGTCTTCATAACAATCAAAGAACAATGAGGAAATGTAAAGAAAAAATTATCTTTTCATTACATATACTTTCACAAGCCTACTCTCACGAAATTCCACATTAGTTCCTAAATGTTATCAAGGAGCCCATTATTTAGGACTGTATTTGTAAAAGATATTTGTCAATTCCAGCATTCTAGTTCAACCTAATCTTAATTTCTGTGACCCTGTTAATTAACATAATCAATTCAACAAATTTATAACAAGTAGGCAATAAGCAAGATTCCAAAAACTGATTAATATTCAATTAAGCATTTAATAGTCAACCTCTTATCTCCCTAAATCTCCATATCGTAAAGCATTTTCCATGTGTATACACTCAGGACACTATCACTTTTAGGTGCTGGGCAGAAGAAGAAAGTGGGGAGAGAAGATGCAGCAGTGCTTCTGAAAGTAGTAAGCTGACTGTGTGGTGTTGGGCAAGCTAATGAAGCAAAGGTACACAAAGGCAGAGTAGAACGTTCTAATGTGCTCCCACTGGAAATGTAACTGACGTTGCATGTACTAGATTATTTCATATTTAACAAGATGGATACACTTCATAAAGCAAACTGGAGGGGGGAAAAGCAATTAATTCTGTGCAATGAAAACTACAACAGTTCACCAATTTGGCATACCCAAAAAAACTCACCTGTTCTCTTGTTTCCGCCTCTTGAATCTGAATTCCTTGTAACTGTTTTTCATAATTGGAACACATATCACAACGTCTACCAAGTTTATTTCCAGCATTATGTACCTGAAGGGCACCAAAATTACCTCTTTATCAGGCAGAACAAAATAGTTCTACATTACATACTTGAGGACACATGCACAGTCTCGCCTATATTGCTCAAAGAAGAACATCAAGTAAATAATTTCTTCAGGGACTGAAGGCAAGAAGTTACAATATAGGGTTGGATTCTAAAAGTCATAAGCTCTAATAGAAATATGATAGGAAAACAAGGGACACAACTTCACTACCAAGAGACTAAGTGCCACAAAACACCACATTTGAGGAAAGCACAAAGCAAGCAAAAGGTAGTACACCATGGCACTCACAATTTAAACCCAACCAAGGAAGGGGATGAGAGGAGGAACCAGTGCCAATTAACCATTTCACCTGCTCCAATTACAAAGTAGGTGTTAAACTATTAAGTAGCACCTTCTCACATGTTAGAGAACAGTTTCTTTCAGGCTTAATAAGCTGTTCTACTTACTTACAGCTTCTTTAAAGAGAAGTAATCCTGGGTAAAGGAAAACACTGCAAAGTCAAAAAACCTGGATTCTAACCCAGGTTCTGCTGCTAAGTCAAAGGAGAAATTTAAGTTACTCTTTGATCTTTTGAGCTAATTTCTTCATCTGTAAATTGAGGACAATCATGTCCTCACTGCCTCATTATTATCAAGAAGCTCAAAGAGATGAGATATGTGATCTGTAATCTGTAAACCACTATGCAAGTATATACTTAAGTTTTTACCTCCTACCTTACTTCTGAATTGCAAACACTATTAGGAGAAAAATTAACCTCACTGAAGGCTGCTTTTTTTCTCTTCCCTATTCTCCACCTCCTCCTTAAATTCACTCTCAGCATCAACTGCTGACAAGCATTTGCACTTCAGATCTCAAAGGAAAATGAAAAAATAGGAATCTTGGAATATACTGAAGTTACAAAAACTGCAAAGCAAACCAAATAGCATAACTTAGCTACACTATTCAGGCAGACTGCTCCAATTTCAGATGTCTGACTTCAGGATAGAGAAGTTCACACTCAATGCAATTAGCTAGTTAGTTCCTTCTATATCATAATCACCTGAATAACTAGAGCAGACTATGGCAAGGGTCAGACAATATGGGTTAACACCCACTTGCTAGTAGCATGTGCATATACCGACTCCAAGGATTATCTTCTGAATGAACAATACATTCCAGAGTTACCCAGTATGGCTCAAAGTGCTCAAGAGGAAAAAAGAAAGATAACTCACCTCTTTCTGCAGGAGATTCCATTCTGTCTCACTGACTAAGCGATAGCCACTGGGAGACACATAAGCATTTTCCATACCCTGGGTGACACTGGAGAGGAGAGATGCTGTCTCTTCTTGTTCTGGCGTCATTGCCTTGATTGCTCTTTCCTGATCTTTGGTTAACATAAACCCACTTGGCATTTGCAGTGATCCAAGGGAGGCAGTGTCAAAATTCTCAGACACTGAATCTGCTCCTACCAGTGGTCCAAAATCTGACTCATCTAGGTTTCCAGCAGATTTTGCTTTGTAGTTATAGCCTAAAGCTTTGGATTGCAGTGAGCCTGAGGTTCCCAAGCTGTCTGTAGACTGTGCTCTCCTGAGTCCATCTTTAAACATGTCATTGTCCGATTTACTGAATGGATCTCCAGATGGCAATAGTAAATCTGCATCTAAGGAATGGACTGAACCATGCGTACTATCTAAATGCTCCTGAAATGTGAAAATAACATCTATGTTAGACAATTCTCTATAGTTTTCAAAAAGGAAAATTACCATATGTTAAAAGTATTTTGCCAGATTACACATGATAATCATTAGTGTGTTACCTTCATGTATTTATTGAACAAACATTTACTGAGTGTCTTCTATACACTGGGCACTAAACCAGGCACTCAAGATACAACTATGAGCAATCTCAGACCTCAAGATGCTTATGATTTCATGAAAAAAAAGTAAGGAGGCTCTCAGAATATCACATTTAATAAAATGATAGGCTGCCTTTTGATCCAGCAATTCCACTGCTAGGATTATATCCCAAGAATCCTAAAACATCAATATCAAAGAACCTATGCACCACAATGTTCATAGCAGCACAATTTACAATAGCCAAGAGCTAGAAGCAACTGGTGCCCATCAGTAAATGAATGGATAAAAAAATTGTGGTACATATACACAATGAAATTCTATGCAGCAGAGAGAAAGAAGGAGCTACTACCCTTTGCAACAATATGGATGGAACTGGAAAGCATTATGCTGAGTGAAATAGGCCAGGTAGTGAAGTTGAAAGACAAATACCATATGAACTCACCTTTAACAGGAAGCTAAACAACAAAACAAACAAGCAAGCAGAATAAAAACAAAGACACTAAAATAGAGAACAAGGGGGCAGTGACCAGAGGAAAGAGGGAAGGGAATTTAAGGGGGAAAAAGGGGAGGGATTTAGAAGAACAAGTATGAAGGACACAGGGATGAGGACTAGGGGGGGAGGAAATGGGAGGGAGGTGGGGAGCACGGGGCGGGGGAGGCTGGGATGGGAGAAATAGACAAAAAACTGTACTTGAAAAATAACTAAATAAAAAAAATGATAGGCTACAACTATGTACTGAATGCTTTGGTAGCTCAAGGAGAGGAATAGTCCACACATACAAAGTCAGAGGAGGTTTCCTGAAATTCAGCATGGAGTACGTTGAATGTGAGATGCCTATCGTATATCCAAGCACAGATGTCCACCCAACAGAGGGACATATAAGTCTTCAGATAAAGATTTGGGAGTAACCATCATACAATAATAATTAAAGTCACAAGAGCAAACCAAAAAACCTAAGATGAGTCTGCAGAATGAGAAGAGGGTCAAGGGCAGAACCCTGAGAAACACATTTTGGGGATGGACAGAGGAAGGAGTAGCCAAAGTGGCAGAGTAAACAGCGGTAATGTGGTATGCTGGAAACTAAATTTTAGGCAAGGTGTAATTAACACATTAAATGTAGTGCACTAAGTGAATGAAGCCAGGTTATATATATCGCTTGATTCCAAATATATAAGATGTCCAGAATAGGTAAGTCCATAGAGACCCAAAACAAACCAGTGCTTGCCAGAGGCTGCAAGGAAAAGAGAATGGGATTAATAGATCCTTCTGGGAGATGATGAAAATGTTTTGAAACTAGACAGAAGTGACAGTTGCATAACACCATAAATGTACTAAATGCCACTGCACTGTACTTTTTTCCTTTTAAAATCTTTTTCTACCACCGCACTATAAATGGTTAATTTTAAATTATGTGAGTTTCACCTCAATTAAAAAAAAAGACAGTGCAACACATTCCCAAAATCTAAAAGCATACCAGTGCCATCATATGATAGAGTTACACAGCTAGTGGGATCAGAAAACAACAACAACAAAAAATGCAGCCTGTTTTTTTTAAACTAAATATACCGAACTTAAAGTACTAGCCTTTATTTTAAGATAATAGTCTTTCTACTCTTTGTGGTTAAATGCCTTCCCTTCTATGAACTAGAAAAGATTGTAGAATAAAAATTGTTTAAATGTTTAAAAATATTCTTACATCCTTACTTGGTATTATAATAAAAAGCTGACAACTTTTAATGTTAATTTCTCCACTTCTTTCTTTTTAAAGACTTTTCATCTGTGAAATTCAGATGACAAAGGAACACAAACCTAGTATATATTAAACTAGCTATGGCAAAGGTCCCAAATAAGTATCCTAATAAAAACTGGGAACCCATTCTGTGAACTTATAAAGGAGCCTAACAGCTAATACTATCATACACAATGCTGCTGTAACACAGAGAAAAGGGGACAGGGGCAGAAAAGTTCTGATGGCCAATTTAAAAACACCTGACTACCATGATGTAACATCATAAGGAACAATTCTATAGGAACTGTAAACTTTTATGTTTCCAAAAGATGATTCAACAATATGTTCTAACACCTTAAAAATGTCTGCATCCTCAAACTCAGCATCTCTTTTCCCAAGAACTTACACAGTCCAAGAGGACTGTGAATAACATTAAACTTTTCTTTCACTGAAACTGACCTCTCCATGTTATCACTCAGGCACCTTGAAAAATTAAAACATGGGCACAAATCAATAAGTAGGAGATTAAGGAATTATGGTACATTTACATGTACATGCTGAATTATACCAGCCACAATCATCATTTTAAGAGAAAACATTTACTGATGTGTCAAAACCTTTAAAAACAGACTTAAGTGGGGAAAAAATGAGATATAAAACATTGTGCAGAGTTACAATTGGATTTGTTGAAAAAGTACAAATAGAAACATATGTATGTTAACTTTGGAAATAAAAATAAAAGAGGGGAAGAAGAGGTACATACCAAAATATTTATGGCAGTTATCTCTAAGCAATAGAATTACCTACCAGTTAGTTTTATTTTATTTACCACTGTCCTCTATTTTCCAAATTTTCCATAATGAACATGTATTACCTTTGCATGCAAAAGCTTCTTCTAAGAGTCAGGTTAAAGAAGATATGAGGTCTTACAAATTTAAATGTTTTTATCAACGAATCTAAGTTTCCAAAGCATTCTAGATTAAATTTAAACTGACAGACTAAATTGTCATGATTGTCAACACAAAACAAATGTGCAAAATATCAGATCTGAAGGTCTAAAAGATATTTTGAATGTCAGGAAATAATGTTATACACAATATATCATAGGTCTGTTAAGACAGAATCAAAAATAAGAAAAAGGCTTCACTGAAAATAACAAAAAAAATCTCCCTTTCCTATTTTCCTGCTAAAATATTTTTGGAAAAGTCTGAAACCTTTTCAAACATTCCTGGACACAGAACTCTGCATGATACACACAAAAAAAACCAGGCATAATATTTGGCAGTACCAAAATATTCTCCTGGGAATCTAACTATTAAAATGAAATATACAAAGAATCAAGCCAAGTGGTTTTCATTGTATGATCCAAAACAAAAGTGCAGAAAAACAACTACATCATACTTTTCAATGTCCACTAGCATTTTTAACTTTCTTTGTAATGTCAAACAACCCATAAACATGGAAATATAAGCCACTAGGAATATTATACATGGCTCAGAGTAAATCTGCTAACAAAAGAGAAACATGATCTCTCTGAAAGTGGGTAAGACCCTTATCTAATTTAACTGAAACTGATTTACCAGGCTGAGAAAGAAGACAGCAGTAGGAGAGTGACTATGAAGTTCTAAATAGCAGGGACAGTTGTTATAAACAAGACATATGAGCAATGACAGTAAATAGAAAGGTCTGGCTGTGATAAAATGGACAGCAGAGTAAGGCTGGAAGGGTCTTTCGACTGTGAAGGCCCTCGTATGCCAAGCTAGGAACGCTTTTTAGTTTTTACCCTAAAGGCAAGGTAAGAGAAGCATTTCTGTTACTGAAGAGGAGATACCAACATGAGTCTTGAAGAGTAAGAAGGATTTCAGCACTCAGAAAGGCAGAGGGAAATAAGCCTTTCTGGTAAAGAAACCAACATGCAAGTTGGGAAGTATAGCACAAGACAACCAATGTCGCTAAAACAGAGTGCATATTATGAGTGGTCTGAGTGAGGAATTTGTACTTAATTATTTAGGTAATGAGAGTCAGTGTTTGAGCAGGGGAGTGGCCTGACTGCAGACACACTTAAGAAAAATAAATCCAGGAGTGGCCTGACTGCAGACACACTTAAGAAAAATAAATCCGACAGTAGCACTGAGGCTGCAGTGGAATGGGACAGGCTGAAAACAGGAAACCTAGTGAGAAGGCCTTTGCCACACTGTAGATTAGAGGTAAAGAAGCCATAGGAGCACCACTGTACACTTTCCACCTCCAGGTCTCTCTACTCTCCCCATTCCCATTCCCACCTGAAATGTTCTACCCTACCCCATCACAATCTGCCAAACTTTGCCTACTAGTCTCAGGGCTTAAGGCCTAATACTAGTTAATACTTAATCTATGGTATAGAGAGTTAAGTGTTTCAATATTTTAGATAAGCTCTTTTAAACAAAAAGCTCAAAGTATTATCAACATCATGCATATAAAAGAAGACTGCAGATATTAAAGATTTCTTCTAATGTTTTACTTTTGGAACCACTGGATAAAATAACATCGAATTATTTCAGAGACTATGAGAGAAATTACAACATGTTTCAAACAGTACTACTTATAATACCATAAAAACGATTGCAAGTAAATATCATTTTATCTAATTTTAGCAAATAGTTATACACTTACCATATAAACAATACTATTGATTAACATATGAAAAGCTAAAATAGTACACAATTATTTTAATTACAGATTCACTATACCTCTTCATTTGATAACTGGGCTGAAGATTCTTCATGAGTTAAAGCACACACTACTGGTATTTTCACTTCTTCCTCAACATCTGTTTTTTTGTGGTCCTTTCTCTTATTAAGTCTTTGTTGCTCATCTTCCTCCTAAATGTTAGGAAGAAAAAAATGTGTTACACAAGTAACCTATATTTAATGATTCATGTAGTTCTAACCATTCAAAACAAACAAAAAATAAAAAACAAGAACTGTATGATGAGAGAAAACTGGACACTTAAGTTTATTTGTTTTATAATCACATGTGAGGGCATCTGGTCATAACAAAATGTTTTAATACTATAGGCACAAAGTACAAACCCTAGTAAAAGAACAAATCAGGAAGTAACTTCCGGAAAGTACATAATGTGAAAGGCAAAAACAAAGAAAGCAAACCACCTCCTCTTCTTCAAATGATCCTAGAAAGAAAACTAACGTAGAATATTTCTTCAGATTATTGTAGAAAACTAATAAGAAAAAGTTATTACTCATCCATTAGAAAGATATACAAATTTATATAAAATACAAAAGGAATGATGGAAGTTGATGCAATCATTCACTCAATAAAGATGAGTACCTTTAATGCCTAGTGGTAAAGGACAAACACACAATTATATTACTAATGGAGAATGCCTTTTTTAAATGACTGATTTCACATGAGAGAACTAGAAAAGGGGACCCCTGGAAGGTAACACTTTAGCTGATCTTCAAGAATAAGTAGGATAAGCCTGCCAACTGTGAGAGGAGACAAGCAAGGGTTCCAGGGAGAAAGAAAGCGGGTACAAATACACAGGGGCACAGGCAGCCATCTGACAGAACACTGAGTAATTTTTTAAAGATTTTATTTATTTATTTTTAGAGAGAGGGGAAGGGAAGAAGAAAGGAAGAGAAACATCAGTGTGTTGTTGCCCCTCACATGCCCCCAACCGGGGACCTGGCCCACAGTCCAGGCATGTGCCCTAACTGGGAATCGAACCAGCAACCTTTGGTTTGCAGGCCTGTGCTCAATCCACTGAACTACACCAGCCAGGGCAGAATACTGAACAATTTGATGTGACTGAAAATAGCATAAGCACATGAGAAGAGAGGTATATGGAAGGAGGGTGGTAATTAAGTGCCTAGACTCTGGAATCAGAGACTGGCTCAAACCTCAGATCTGCCATTAGTTCCTACTTCATTTGGGTAGTATTATTGAAGGTTTTTTGGTAATTTATTTTTTATTTTTTAATTTTATTGATTATGCCATTACAGTGGTTCTAATCCCCCCTCTGTTCCCCTCCACCCTGCACACCCCTCCCCCATCATTTCCCCCCTTAGTTCATGAACACGTGTCTCAAGTTCTTTATTTTTTTATTTTATTTTTTTATTGATTATGCCATTACAGTTGCTCTATTCCCCCCTTCATTCCCCTCCACCCTACCCCCCGTCCCCACCATTACCCCCCCCTTTAGTTTATGACCATGTGTCTCAAGGTCTTTAGATTCTATATTTCCCCTACTATTCTTACCCTCCCCCCTATTTTCTATCTACTGTCTATGCTACTTATTTTCTGTACCTTCTCCCCCCTTCTCTTTCTCCCACTCACCTGTTGCTAACCCTCCATGTGACCTTCATTTCTATGGTTCACTCCTGATCTAGCTGTCCTCTTAGTTTGTTTTTATTTTAGCTGTGGTTCTTAGTAACTGTGAGTTTACTGTCCTTTCACTGTTCATTTTTTTTATCTTCTTTTTCTTAGATAAGTCCCTTTAACATTTCATATAATAAGGGTTTGGTGATCATGAACTCCTTGAATTTGATCTTATCTGAGAAGCACTTTATCTGTCCTTCCATTCTAAATGAAAACTTTGCTGGATAGAGCAATCTTGGTTGTAGGTCTTTGGTTTTCATGACTTGGAATACTTCTTTCCAGCCCCTTCTTGCCTGTTAAGGTCTCTTTTGAGAAATCCGGTGACAGTCTGATGGAACTCCTTTGTAGATGACTGTCCCCTTATCTCTTGCTGCTTCTAGGATTTTCCTTCATTTTAATCTTGGCTAATGTAATTATGATGTGCCTTGGTGTGTTCCTTCTTGGGTCCAAGTTCTTTGGGACTCTCTGAGCTTCCTGGATTTCCTGGAAGTCTATTGCCTTTGCCAGAATGGGGAAGTTCTCTTTTATTATTTGTTCAAATAAGTTTCCACTCGTAACTGTTCCTCTTCCCCTTCTGGTACCCCTATCATTCGGATGTTGGAACATTTAAAGATGTCCTGGAGGTTCCTAAGCCTCTCCTCATTTTTTTGAATTCCTGTTTCTTCATCCTTTTCTGTTTGGTCATTTTTTTCTCCTTCTGGTCCACTCCCTTGATTTGAGTCCCAGCTTCCTTTCCATTACTATTGGTTTCCTGTGCATTACCATTCATTTCAATTAGTTTAGCCTTCATATGTTCCTCTAATTTGTGACTAAAATCAACCAGTTCTATGAGCATCCTGATCACCAGTGTTTTGAACTGTGCATCTGAAAGTTTGGCTATTTCTTCGTCTCTTAGATTTATTGGCTCTGGGGCTCTGAGTTGTTCTTGAGCCATGTTTTGATCTGTCCATGCCTGTTACATATGAGAAGAGGCACCTGAGGTGTTCACCAGGGCGGGGCCACCCAGGTTGCTGGTTTGTGATGCTGTATGTGGGGGCGGGGTCAGAGAGGGAGCAATGGCAGTCCTTTCCACTTGCCTAGTCAGCCTCACCGCTCACCCCCGCCTGCTTATCCGAGCACAAATGTGCGAGCCCGCTGCCCTGCGCCGGGGCAGCCAGGGCCTGCGTGATCTGTCTCAATGCTTGCCTCTTCACTGGTTTATCTGTGTGCAAATGCGCAACCGACTGCAGACAGCCAGCGGCGCCTCTTCCTTGGGTTCGGCCCGTAGCCAGCCCACACCTGGGATCCACACCCTCTGCTGCCTGTGCACCACCCGTGTCAGGGGATCTTTTTTGCCTGACCTGCTCCGCTGCTGGCTTTGACCCTCTCACCAGTTTAGCTGAGTGGTCCGTTGTTTTCGGACTCCATATTTGATTTTCTGTGTGGTTTGATTGCGTTTATTGTTGTTAAAACTTTGTTGTTTTTAAATTTGGTTGTGCGAGGACGCAAAGTATTCCCACCTATGCCTCCGTCTTGGCGGAAGTTCTTTGGTAATTTTTTTAAATGTTAGAGACAATGATTTGTTGTTCCATTTATTTATTCATTCACTCATTGATGTGCCCTGACCAGGGATCAAACCCACAACCTTGGCATATCAAGATAATATTCTAATCAACTGAACTACCCAGCCAGAGCAAAGCTCAAAAAATTTTAATAAAAACTTTAAATGAACAGTTATAGGAATTAACAGTTTTAATGGACAGCAGGAGGGACATAATTGAATTTGTACTTTAGAATCTGAATCTAGGACTTCCAGCCAAGATGGAGGCATAGGCAGACACACTGCGCCTCCCCAAACAACCAAAATAAGAACAACAACAATTTAGAAACAAAAGAACAACCAAAACTGAGAGAAAATTGAACTGCACGGAAGTCCAACAACCAAGGAGTTAAAATAGACACATTCATCCAGACCAGTAAGTGGAGCGGAGTCGGGCTGCTGAGCAGAGAGGGGTCAGGGCACAGGAACCGGTGACACCAGGCATGCAAGGCAGACCCCAGGAATGGGGTGTCAATGGGCAAACCAAGTGAGGTGGTAATTGAGAAGCAGGGCACCGTGCACAAGGTGGCCAGCTAACCAGGCAGTGGTCCCACGTTCGTGCATAGATAACTGGGGAGCAAGATAGATCGTGCAACCCAGGGTCCTAGCACCAGGAAATAAAGCCTCAAAACACCAACTGTAAACACTTGTGGGGATTGAGGCACAGGGAGAGACTCCCAGCCTCACAGCAGACGTTGGAGAGACCCACAGGGTCCTAGACCCCATACAAGCCCACCCACACGAGAATCAGTGCCAGAAGGGCCCAATTTGCTTGGGGGAAGTGGTGGAAGGGACTGAGATGCAACAGGGAGTGGAGCAAACCGCCATTGTTCCTTCTCGACCCCACCCCCACATACAGTGTCACAACCCAGCAATGGAGGTTGCCCAGCCCTGGTGAACACCTAAGGCTCTGCCCCTCAAATGTAACAGATGCAAACAGACCAAAACATTATGGCTCAAGCAGAAGAACAGCTCAAAGTCCCAGAGCCAATACTTCTAAGTGACCAAGAGATAGCCAACCTATCAGATGCACAGTTCAAAACACTGGTGATCGGGATGCTCACAGAATTGGTTGATTTTAGTCACAAATTAGATGGAAAAACAAAGGCTACACTAAGAGAAATGAAAAAAATGCACAGGGAACCAGTAAGTGATGGGAAGGAAACTGGGACTCAAATCAATGCAGTAGACCAGAAGGAAGAAACATTCAACCAGAACAGAATGAAGAAATAAGGATTCAACAAAATGAGGAGAGGCTTAGGAACCTCTAAGACATCTTTAAACGTTCCAACATCTGAATTATAGAGGTACCAGAAGGGGAAGAGGAAGAGCAACAAGTGGAAAACTTATTTGAACTAATAATAAAGGAGAACTTTCCCAAGCTGGCAAAGGAAATACACTTCCAGGAAGTCCAGGAAGCTCAGAGAGTCCCAAAGAAGTTGGACCCAAGAAGAAACACACCAAGGCACATCATAATTACATTAGCCAAGATTAAAATGAAGGAGAGAATTCTAGAAGCAGCAAGAGATAAGGGGACAGTCACCTACAAAGGAGTTCCCATCAGACTATCAGCTGATTTCTCAAAAGAGACTTTACAGGCAAGAAGGGGCTGGAAAGAAGTATTCCAAATCATGAAATCCGAAGACCTACATTCAAGATTACTCTATCCAGCAAAGCTTTCATTTAGAATGGAAGGGCAGAGAAAGTGCTTCTCAGATAAGGTCAAGTTCAAAGAGTTCATGATCACCAAGCCCTTATTTTATGAAATGTTAAAGGGACTTTTCTAAGAAAAACAAGATAAAAAATATGTACAGTAAAATGACAGCAAACTCACAATTATTAACCACACCTAAAATAAAAACAAAGGAAACAACTAGAACAGGAACCACAGATATGGAGATGACATGGAGGGGTAGCATCAGGGGAGTGGGAGGAGGAGAGGGGGGGAAAGATACAGAGAATAAGTAGCATCGATGGTAGGCAGAAAATAGACACAGGGGGGAGGGCAAGAATAGTATGGCAAATGTAAAAGCTAAAGAACTTAAGACACATGGACATGAACTAACGGGAAGAATGTAGGTGGGAGAGGGTATGCAGGGTGGAGGGGAGTGAAAGGGGAAATGGGACAACTGTAATAGCATAATGAATAAAATATATTTTAAAAAGAGAATCTGAATCTTTAAGATGACTATGTCCACACACAAGATGAACAAGTTAGAATCAAGGTACAGAAAATTAGCCCTGACTTGTGTGGCTCAGTGGATTGAGCACCAACCTGAAAACCAAAGGGCTGCTGGGTTCAATTCCCAGTATTGAATTGAATAGGGCACATGCCTGGGTTACTGGCCAGGTTCCTAGTGAGGGGTACACGACAGGCAACCACACATTGATGGCTCGGTCCCTCTCTTTCTCCTTCCCTTCGCCTCTCTCTAAGATAGATAGATAGGTAGATAGATAGATACATAAATAGATACATAGATAGGTAGAAAGAAACACAAAATTAAAAAGGAAGAAACTTCTGAAAAACAAATCTAACCCAAGTCATCTAGGTAATCTAAAATATTTCTAATACCTAAAAAAGCTTCTACCTAGCTATCCTAGGCAAATAATTGTACACATATACAACACAGTGTGGGACATCAGCTGCAACAACTGTTTAAAGTAACACAAAAGGAAACTATTCAGATGCCCACTACAAGGAGGATTATGTCAACTGGAGCGCATCCATGCTACCAGCTAAAAACAGAGAGATCTCTGAGGTGAAAATATACCCAGATAATGCCATGAGAAAAATAAGTTATAAATACTTAAACTATGATACCAGTTAAGAGAAAACTGAAAAAAAAATTTCCTAAAAGTACACCAATAAATTGTATTGCAATAAATACATAGAAATGGTCTGGAAGACTACCTTCCAAACTGACTACTCCTGACTTAAAAAGTGGTTACTTCTGGGAAAGGAGGTGTGGGAGGTTATCAAGAAGCATCTTTTCCACTTTATAACTTTACCTTGTGCTTAAAAAACAAAACAAAACAAAATATTAGCATAAGGATATATCTGTATATTATTCAAGTGATTTAAATAATGTTTTAAATTACATGAGGCAAACAGAACCTTGGATATGCAGCACTCTAGACCCCTGCCTTTACCTATCACTCCGCTTCTCCATCCCCTCCCTGTCACCTTCTAATAAAGCTTTTAGACCAACGTCATGAAGACCTGGCCTGGATAAACACACTTCAAGAGCCCTAGGAGAACTGGACAGAACTATAGAGAAAATATTTCCCAGAAATATGCACTGTTGCACCCTGCAGTCTCTGAAGCAGATCACTTCTAAATGGTTTTTTCCCCCAGGCAAGGCCATTTCTAAAACTGAAAAACAAAATCCTTCAAATGCAGCTAGGGTGTTTTTGAAAATGTCATACAGCACCTTATTTCAGGCTTTAGTCAACCTCTAATATGCATAAAGTAATGCAGTCACATATCTGTGGGTGGATTAGTGTGTACAATTTAAAAAGTAAGCTAATTCCTACAAAAATGCTATTCACCTGATCTTTCTTTTTCAGTTCTTCAACTTGTCGGAGCTGCTCTGAAGTTAGCACAATCTCCATTCGCTGCATGTCTCTCATTAGCAAACGCTGAGATTCCAGAAACTGGTCATTGGCCTTCTGCCACGTATGTTTTAACTGGTTGTGTTGTTGTCGCTCTTGCTCCAAGAGATGGCACACTGTAAGAATCCCCCAATCAAAAACACTGAATTGTAATAGTAGGCAATACAGTATTTCCCAAATTTCTTTGACAAAAAAAAAATTCCATAATGTCACTTTCATAAAAAGTTTCTAGAGAATACATTTTGGGAAACATTGCTCTAAAGGCCAAAAGTTTAGTAAGCATCCCTAACTCTCTTTAATACAGTCTGATATATCTGTTACCCAGAAATCCTTGAGCCCATTTAATTCTGACCTCTAAGAATAAATCCAAGAATATTTGTAAATATTTATGTTGTTGATTCTCATTGGCTCAACCATCTTCTATGGAAAAAAGAGTAGGTAGTATCATCCTCTATGTCCACCTACTCAGCTACCCAAGCCAGAAACTCAAGAGACAACTCATATTTCTTACTTTTCCTCACCCAACACATTCAGAAAACTACTATCAACAGAAGTCTACTAATGCTGCCTCCTGTGCATTATGGGGCAGCCATCTTCTACCTTAGATCAGCCCTGGTAATTTAGACAACTACAACAGTAGTCCCTTTGATATTCTTCCTGCCCTTAGTCTTGCCCTCTCTATTCTATCCTCCACCCTGCTATTACAATGAACTTTCCAAGATGCAAAATTAATATTATTACTCACTAGTTTAAAACCCTTCAGAGAAGCCAATCACAAAGGCCACATATTGTATAATCCTATTTACAAGGAAATCCAGAATAGGCAAATGTACAGAAACAAAAGATAGGTTAGTGGCTGCCAGGAACTGGAATGGAGGAGAGAACAGGGATGTTTGGCAATGGATACATAATTTTTTTTGGAATAATAAAAATGTTCTGAAATTAGAATATATTCAGAATAAAACCACTGAATTTACACTTTAAAAGAGTGAATTTCGTGGCATATGAATTATATCTCAATAAAGTTTTTTTAAGAAAAAAGATTTTTTAACCCTCAGACACTCCTTAACGCCCATGGGATAAAATCCAAAATCCTCAGCACAAGGTCTCAGTGATCTGGACCATGTCCACCTCTCCTGTTTCACATTTCGCACCACTGACTCCTGTATCCTAATTCTGATGAACTACACTTCTTTCACTTCCTTACCTTATTATACCACATGCAAATGGCCTTGAATGTTATGCTCAGCTTTGAAAAATACCTATCTATCTTTCAAAACTCCACTTAAGAACAACTTCTTTGAAGAAGCCTATCTGTGGCACTGTTGCTACCTCATACACTTCCATCCAATCCTAGCACCTCTGATACGCAACTACTACACTAACTTGGCTGCAAATCTAGCTCCACCAATTAAAGCTGTCATTACACTGCTGCTTAATCTTTTATCTGTCTTCTTTCATTCAAATACTATTTTCTGGTGTGTTTCAGTACGGAAATTCCTTTATCCCAGTACTCATTTAACTGAAACTTCTCAGATACTTTTCCAGACATATTAGGAAGGTTTGGCAGTCTTACACTATTTTTGGAAGGGTTGGGGCACATGGCTTAACCATAAATTTTTTTTATACCCTTTCAGAGTTAGGGGGTCTTTTTCACAGCAGTACATCTGAAAAATGTTTCCTGAAAGCCAAAGGCTCATTCAAACTTTGTGTTATTTTCATAACATTTTATGAAATAATTCTGTACACTTCTGTAATTTCAACTTTCCACTCTTTGGGGGAGGGAACTCACAAACAAACCTAATTTACGGAAGAGCTATATTTTTCACAGTATTTGATATACTCAAAAGTATTCACTGTAAGACCCTATCACCACAGTCCTAAAATGCATATTAAAATACATTTCTAGCAAAACCTGAAAGTATAAGATTTCAAAGGAGCCCATGCATGTGGAAGAAGAAAAAACTTAGATCTTTATTTTCACTAACCACTAACTGAAATTTATCATTTACTTCAATTATGAAATGTAGGCAACCAATCAAAGTTAAGTATAATAATCCCTATGACCTGCTCACAAACAGAAGCCACAGATATCTTAATATCAATACTTATGCTCATCAGTAATTCGAAATTACAAGTTATCAAACCTGCTACTAGACCTTGTTATTTAATGCGTTACTGAAATAGCACATTTATTACTATACCATAAGTTTGCAGTTATTTATATTTTGATAACTTTTAAATAGTGTTATTGGTTTCTTTTGTAATGCCACATATTTTATGGATTACAAACATTATTCTGAAAGGGCTTCACGAAACTGCCAAGAGTCCATGACACAAAAAAGTTAGGAACCCCAGGTATATAGGAGTCACTAGAAGAATGCAAGACAAAAGTACATTTTTATTTTAATGAGGAAAAAATTAGTGAAACACATACTGAAACACACCTTCTTCCTCATTCCTGGGAAAACACAGTCAATTTCTGCATCACTCTGCTACTAGACTAGTGAAATCAAAATTGTTTCTTATAGCTCTGACCAGTGTGGCTCACTGGATTGATCATGGGCCTGTGAAGCAAAAGGTCACCGGTTCAATTCCCAGTCAGGGCACTTGCATGGGTTGCAGGCCAGGTCCCCAGTAGTGGATGTATGCAAGGCAAACACAGTGATGTTCCTCTCCCTCTCCTTCTCCCTCCCTTCCCCTCTGTCTAAAAATAAATTAATTTAAAAAAAACTGTCCCTTATAAACAGGAATGTTATTTAAGGACACCAGAATATATTATCTGTCCTCTGTCCCATATGCACTTTTGCTAATCCGCCTCCATCAAAATGGGTTAAGAGCAAAAATGGTCTATGCAAAAATGGTCTAGCTCTATCATGTTTTATTCAAGAGCTCATGCCCTGTGAAGTTATTACTAGAGTCCTGGAAGAAAGAGAAGTCAGTAACAGTCTAAGTATCTTTAGCAGACCTCACATCCCCAGATTTTCATGGGAATATTCAAACTAACTGTGAAGCTTAAATTAAATCACTAATATATTGGATTGGTATTTTAAGATTGGTTATTATTTTGTTAATCAATATCATAGTTCTCTTAGAGACTAAGAGGAAAAATATACAGAATATATATTTACCTTCATGCAATTCTTTCCGCAGTTTCTCAGCATCTTCCTGTAAAACAGATTTCTGAGTATTCAAAACAGCTACATACATCTCTAGGTCAGTCCTACAAGATTTCTCAGCCTCCAGATAATGATTCAGTTCTTTAACCTGAAACAAGACACAATTCTATTAAACTAAAATTTACATACTTACTATAGAAAACTTAAAAAATAATTAATAGTAGACATTATAATCATATCATGAGTAAATATAAAAAATAACTGAGATTATACATAACAATTTTGTATACTTTTCAAAAAGGTAGTTCCGATTTATATTCCCATAGACTCATTTTATCACATACTCAGCAACACCAAGTTGTTGTTTTTATTTTAAACAGTAGTTGCTGTCTAGAGATAAAACAGTACCCATAGCCTTATAAGTTTGCATCTTTTTATTTCTAATGAGGTAATTCCAAGTGCCTTAAATTTATAAAAAGGAAACATTTTCACAGATACATGTATCCATGGAAGGAAAAAAGAGGAAGTCATGATGAAAAAAATAATTGGTCTCATACAGTACAAACACAAACTTGAAGGCAAATGCAGAATACTTCTTAAAAATCACATCTTTTAAAAACTTTTATTTCTGTTGAACAATCAGCTATAATGTTCAAATATAAACAATTTAGTATAAATCTGAAATAGTTACAACCAAAATAAAATGCAATCTTGCCCTAGAAAGTGATTATAGAACTACTTATTTTATCCTGTCTTAGAAAATGTCCATCCAATGGTCATTTAGTTAACTTACAACTTTTTCAAATGGTTATGTCTAATTTAATCTTTAAGGTCATTTCATGCCTTTTACCTTCCCACTTTTTCAAACATGAAATAGCTGAAACATTAAATAACTGACTAATCTTATCTTCGCCCCTAGTCTATTGTCAGTACAATAGAGTAGTACTGGTCACAGACTAAAATAATTATTTAAAGCTGCCATTTGCTTCACTGGAGGTTGTCGGCCAATCAGAAAGATACTATATCCAGTGTGGCTCAGTTGGTTGGAGCAACGTCCCATAAACTAAAAGGTCATGGGTTCAATTCCCAGTCAGGGCACATGCCCTAGGTTACAAGGTTGGTCCCTGGTTGGGGCATATACAAGAAGCAACCAATCAATGTTTCTTTTTCACATCAATGTTTCTCTCACTTTCTCTCTCCCTCCCTTCCCATCTCTGTAAGATCAATAAGCATGTGTTCGGATGAGCATTAAAAAAAAAAAAAAAAGATACTAACCAAGCATGACAAAGTGCTGGCTGTTGTGAGGCATTTTCCCTATGACCTGGAGAGGGTGATAATTCAGTTGATGGTAAGAGTCAATATGGCAGATATAAAATGGTGGTAATATAACCACTAATTCTATCAGTTATTACTTCTTAGAACAAATATTTGGCTCAATAATTAATAACTTCTAACATTCAAAAGCTACAGAGCAGAACTCTGGGAAAATGGTGGCACAGTATGTGAATTTCCTTGAATTTCACACATTCTAACAAAGGTTGCAAGAACTACTAAAAAAACAAAACCAAAACCACATGGACAGCTACAAAAAAAACAAAAGAAAAAACAACAACAAGTGATAAACAGAAGGTGGGGACAAACCACTGGAAACTACCTACATGGACTTAAGTAATATCAGTGTCTATGCAAAAGAAACTAAGAGAGAGCAACAAGAGCCCTGAGAATCTCAAAACAGTCAACTGGGGCTCTAACTTGACAAGAGCAGCTGGAACTAGGAAGACTTTCACACACTCCAGTAGTGAACACTACAAATTTGTACTGGTAAGACATAATCTGGTTAGGATAAAATGGCATCCCATTTTCACTTACATTTCCCTGATTTCTAGTGAGGTTCAGTATCTTTTTACATTCCTTGGCAATTGTGATTTTTTATGAATTGCTTTTATGAATTGCTTGCTCATGTTCCTGTTTCTCTACTGGGCCATTTGTCACTTATGAACTAGGCAATTTTTATTAATTTCAGATACTAATTGTTTGTTAGGTATTTGAGGTATAGACAAATATCTTCTAATAGTCTATAGCTCTTCAATTTTATGTGAGATTTCTTTTAATAGGGAAGTTTGATATTCTTAGGTAGGCAAATTGTCAATCTTCATTTACAGTGAATATTACTGTCTCATTTCAAAAGCTTTTGTACTTAGGTAACATTTTCTTTCTTTTATTTATTTATTTTATTGATTATGCTGTTACAGTTGTTCTATTCCCCCCCTTCATTCCCCTCCACCCTACCCCCCTTTAGTTTATGACCATGTGTCTCGAGTTCTTTAGATTCTATATTTCCCATACTATTCTTGCCCCCCCTTCTATTTTCTATCTACTGTCTATGCTACTTATTTTCTGTACCTTCTCCCCCTTCTCCTCCTCCCACTCCCCTGTTGCTTACCCTCCTTGAGATCTTCATTTCTATGTTTCCACTCCTGATCTAGCTGTCCTTTTAGTTTGCTTTTGTTTTAGGTGTGGTTGTTAATAACTGTGAGTTTGCTGTCCTTTCACTGTTCATGTTTTTTTAACTTCTTTTTCTTAGATAAGTGCCTTTAACATTTCATATAATAAGGGCTTGGTGATGATGAACTCCTTTAATTTGGTCTTATCTGAGAAGCACTTTATCTGTCCTTCCATTCTAAATGAAAACTTTGCTGGGTAAAGCAATCTTGGTTGTAGGTCTTTGGTTTTCATGACTTGGAATACTTCTTTCCAGCCCCTTCTTGCCTGTAAGGTCTCTTTTGAGAAATCTGCTGACAATCTGATGGGGACTCCTTTGTAGGTGACTGTCCCCTTATCTCTTGCTGCTTCTAGGATTCTCTCCTTCATTTTAATCTTGGCTAATGTAATTATGATGTGCCTTGGTGTGTTTCTTCTTGGGTCCAACTTCTTTGGGACTCTCTGAGCTTCCTGGATTTCTTGGAAGTCTATTTCCTTTGCCAGATTGGGGAAATTCTCCTTTATTATTTGTTCGAATAAGTTTTCCACTGGTGGCTGTTCCTTTCCCCCTTCTGGTACCCCTATAATTCGGATGTTGGAGTGTTTAAAGATGTCCTGGAGGTTCCTAAGCCTCTCCTCATTTTTTTTGAATTCTTGCTTCTTCACTCTTTTCTGTTTGGCCATTATTTGCTTTCTTCTGGTCCATTCCATTGATTTGAGTCCCAGTTTCCTTTTCATCGCTATTGGTGTCCTGTGCAATTCCATTCATTTCAATTAGTTTCGCCTTCATATGTTTCTCTAATTTGTGGCTATAATCAACCAGTTCTGTGAGGATCCTGATCACCAGTTCTTTAAACTGTGCGTCTGAGAGTTTTGCTATTTCTTCATTGCTTAGATTTATAGGCTCTGGGGCTTTGAGATCTTCTTCAGCCATTTTTGGTCTGTTTGTGACTGTTAAGTATGAGGAGCGGAGCCTGGGACTCCCAGGTTGCTGGGTTGTGACTCTGTATGTGGAGGCGTGGTCAGAGCGGGGAAATGGCGACCCCCTCTGCTGTTTCTCACAGCTGGGTGAAGAGCAGAGCCTTAGGTTGTTCACCGGGGCAGGGCCACTCAGAGTCTCTGGGGTATGACGCTACATGTGGAGGCGGGGTCAGAGCAGGGAAATGGCGGCCCCCTCCGCTGCTGCTTGCCGCTGGGGCTGCTGGCTCTCGGCCAATCGCCCACTCCCTCGCTTGTCTATCCACACATGAATGCGCAACCACAGTCAACCCGAAGCCCTACTCCCTCGCTGTTTCCCCACGATTGCTTGCTGAGTTGCCCACCAGGTCCAACCCTGCGCCTGGGTTCCACGCGCCTGAGTCCATCTGACTGAGTTTTCCTGTGCTACCCCACTTTGCCAGCTGCTGGTTTCGCCCCTCTTACCGGTCAGGCTGAAGAATTTGTTGTTATCGGACTTCTGAAAAGTTCAATTTTCTGTGTTCTGGCTGTGTTTTCTGTTGCTATTATTTAGTTGTCTCTAAACTTGGTTGTGTGAGGAAGCACGGTGTCTCCACCTATGCCTCCATCTTGGCGGAAGTCTCCATTTTCTTTTATTAACACCGAAAAGTTTCAAAATTTTGCTTTTCACTCTTATGGTTTTTCATTATTAAAATCAGTATTTGTAAAGTGTGAGACAGAAAGCTAATTTCATTTAATCCCACATTTATAATTACTCTTAAAAGCTTTTTTCAAATAATCCTTTCTTTTCCTACTGATTAGTGATGCCTCTTGTCATATATCAAATTTTCATATATGATGCTATTTCTGGGCATTCTAGTCTGTTTCACTGGTCCATTTGCTTATCCCTAAACCAATATCTAACTATCTTAATTATAGTAGTTTTTTATAAAGTATCTGGTAGGTAAGACAAGTCTCTTCACCTTCCTTCTTAAAATTTTTGCTAGATATATTTCTGATCCTATGCTTGTCTACATGAATTCATACTGGAATCTACTTACTAAGTTCCTTATTGGATTTTTGAGTGAAATATTGAATTTACAGATTAATTTGGGGATAGACTGCCTGCTTTGTTACTGCTATTCTTGTTGTTGGAAGGTAGTTTTCTTTACTTGCAGCAAGTAAAGAGACAGAAGACTCATCTTCAAAGTTTTGTTTCCCTTCTAGCCATTGGCTAATTACACAATGATTTCTTTACAGTTCGCTACATTTATCCATTGAGTTCCTATCAAGGTCATCCTGTTTACAGCTGCATCTGCAAAATACTCCATGGTATCCAGGTTCCTTCACCACTGTCAAGCTCCTAAGTATACTTCCAGCTTTATAATACATTATCTTTTCACTAAGGAACACACATGTATTTAGACCTTCATTTTAATATGAAAGTACACTTATAGCTGTGAATACACAGAACAGTTTTTTCTTGTATTATAATCCATTAATAATTGTATTATTTTCCACACAAACAACTGTAAACTACTTTTGCCTCACCCTGTATATTTCGTAAAGATCATGCCCATTTTTTATGTATTCTAGGTAAATTATATGAAGTAGTCCCCCCTTATCTGTGGGGGACACATCCTAAGACCCCTAGTGGATGCCTGAAACCAAGGATAGTACCAAACCATACACATACCACAGTTTTTTTGCTACAGAAAAAAATATTGTATCATTAGAGTAAAATGGTATCCCTAAAGTGTATGGTAAAGTGTATGTATATACTTTATAGATTTTGTTTGGCATATCCAAACTGCTGGCATCACAACTCTTTTGCTTTAGGGCCATTATTAAGTAAAATGAAGGTTACTTGAACATAAGCACTGTAATACCACAGTGTGATACTGATAACGGAGATGGCTACTATGTGACTAACAGGCAGGTCCAACATAGATATGCTTCACAAAGAGACGAGTCATATCCAGGACAGGATGCAACAGGAAGACATCAGATTTCACCACCTCAGAACAGCAAACAATTTTAAGCTTATCAATTTTTTATTTTTGAAATTTTCCGCTTAATATTTTTGGGTTGCAGTTGACTTTGGATAACTAAAACCTCAAAAAGTGAACCTGTGGATAAGCAGGGACTACTGTAGGTATTATTTTGGTCTTTCTTCTATTGTGAATGGATCTTTTATCCCCATCCATTATATTATTTATTTAGCTATTACTGGGGTACAGAAACATTATTGTTTTTGTATGTTGATCTTGTTGGAACAACTTTTCTAAACTCTTACTAGTTCTAATAACCTGTTTGTACATTCTCTTGCTTTTCTATATAATGATCAAATCAGTTTTTCTTTCCAGTTCTCATGCCTCATTTCTTTCTCTTGTCTAACTGTATTGTCTGAACAAAATCACTGAGCATGGGTCTCCTCATATTGTTTCTGTACTTACTTGGCTGCTAAACATTCATCATTAATTATGATATTTGATGAAGGCTTGATAAATAGCCCTATCCTACGTTATTGGTGTTTATCAAATGCCTTTCTGAATCCAAAATATACTGCTCTTTTCCTACAATCTTATGTGGTACATAATCATAATAATGGGTTTTCTGGTGATACACCATCCTTAAATTCCAGGGAATACACTTCATTGGGTCATTGGTTCATGCTGTGTTTGTTTGTTTTTTTAACTACACCATTGAAAATTTTTTTTCTGTATTCCTAAATAAGATTATCTAGTTTTCTTTTCTTATACTACCTTTCTATGGATATATGTGTGCTCATTTGTAATGAAGTTATGCAAGTCTCTAAAATGACTTGGAGAGCTCTCACTCTTTTTCTATTCTCTAACACATTTTATAAAATATATGGATTATCTCTTTCCAGAAAGCTTGAAAAAACTTGCCTGCAAAAACCAGTTGAATCCAATGTCTTTTGAAGGAGAGGAAACAGGAGAAAGAAAATTTTTTACTATAAATTCATTTTCTTTAATAGTTACTCTCCACTTTTACTTCCCTATCTTATCTTGAGACAATTTTGAGTATCTTTTATTAGAAACTTTTTCATTTCATCAAATTTATTTAATTTCAAATTTATTTGACACTGTTCATAGTATTATTTTTAAATCTCTACAGATTTATACTTATGTTCCCTTTATTTCTAATAATTTGAGTTTTTTTCTTTTCTCCTGATTAATCCCATTGGAGGTTTGTCTATCTTATTTCTTCCATTTTTTCATTGTATTCCCTTTCTCGTTTTTCTTTGGCCTTCTTATTTCACTAAAATAGGCTCATATATGTATTATTTTCATCCAACCATATTGCCTATATTATTGTTCTTATTTTAGATTCTTGAGTAAAAATATTCAAATCACTCAATATTTTATAATTCCTTTTTCCATATAAGTTAATTTTTTTTCATTTCCAGTTCATTTTAGGTATCATTTTAATGTAAATAATTTAATAAACTGTGATCAGAGATTTTGGTCTGTATAACATCAATTCTCTGAAATTTGTTGGCACTTCCTTTTGTGAACTTATGAAAAGTATAATATATCTAAAAATAGTAATACTTGATTCTATGCACTATCCTAAGTGCTCTGATGTGTTCATTTATAATCCTCATAATAGCCCTATGAGACAGGCTATATTACTACCCCCATTTTACAACTGAGAAAACTAAAATACAGCAAGGTTGTTTTCCCAAAGTCACCCAGCTAATTAATGCTGAGCTCTTACCTACTGTGTTTTACTACAGTATAAAAAACAGTCTCTTCCTTGGGTACAGGGAGTCTATGTGTCTAATAGCTAAATTAATCATGTTGCTCAAAACTTCTATATCCCTACTAATTTTTTTTTTGCTTGCACTATCACTTTCTAATGATCAGTTTAAATATCCTATTATAATTGGGAAATGTCAATTTCTTCTTGTCACTTTTTGCTTTACATATTTCAAGACTATGTAAGGTGAATTTAAGTTCATGACTACCTTTTCTTTTTGATGGATTATTTATTGATGGAGTCCTTTTTTATCTCCATTAATTCTGTTCCCCTACACCTACCTGTTTCATTATTACAGTTGCTGTATCAACTTTCTCTTGGTTAGATTTTACATGGCGTATCTTTAAATAGCCCTTTATTTCCAATCTCACCTTGTAGGTTTATTTTAGGTGTATCTCTTATAAGCCATATAAAGTTAAATTTTTAACATACAAGCTCTTTTAATTGATTATCAGTTTACTTTACTCGGATTATTGATACATTCCCTTTTCTACATTTCTATATTCCTATGTTGTACTTCTGTTTACTATCTCTTTCCTTACTGTTTCTTTCCTACTTTCTTTTAATTAGTTATTAAAATTTTTAATACTCCCTTTGTATTTCTTCTATTGTCTCTGTATGGCCAACAAATCCAGCCATAATATAACTGTATCATCTCTAAATAAATCAATTACTGGCTGACTTCGACCAGCTTATTATTTTCCTTAATAAGAAAATGAATTAGATTGGGTCTCATTATGATAAGAAAACAAACACTAACTCTGTAACAAAGCAGTACTTGCATCACTATTGTGATTATTGATAATACCACAGGGACAAAATCTACTCTCAGGATTTTTTTTTCTTTTTTCTTTTTGCATTTTAAACAAAGCAAGATTCCTAAGATTCATAATCTAAATTACAGTTTTTACCCACTTAGTGATTCTAACTTTTGCTCATTGCATTAGGTCAGAATCTTGGGTTTTAAGCAAATGAATTATAATGTTTCACAACCTTTGAGGCTTCCAGCTCTTTCACCTTGTCTTCAGCTTCTGTCAATTTATCTTTCAAAGCTGCAATTTCCTTTTCCATGGGCATCACAACAGACCGAAGTTTTTCAGCATCCTCTTGGGCCTATGATTATTAAAAAGAATGAAATACTTTAACTTACTGATTTATTGCTTTTCCTAAGAAACTCTGATCCATCCAGTTATTTAAAATTAGTATAATAAATAAGTCTACCAGGCACTCGCAAAACAGAACCATGTCTAACTTTTAAATGTTGCATTGCTTTGGCCCTGAGTGCTGTGGCTCAGGGGGTTGGGTGTCCTACTGCAAACCAAAAGGCTGCCCATTCAATTCCCAGTCAGGGCACCTGCCTGGATTGCAGGCCAGGTCCCTGAATGGGGGCATGAGAGAGACAACCAATCGACGTTTATGTCCCTCTTTCTCCCTTCCTTACCCTCTCTCTAGAAATAAATTTAAAATCTTTAAATAAATAAATGTTGCATTACTTTGAATGTCAAGTCATAATCATAATTTTTGCATATATTCCATTTAGAATTTGGAAGTAGGAAAATAAATTCACTATGACAATTTTGACTTTGTAATTAATTAATTGACTTGGAAAGTACCTTATGTATAAAAGGAAACACACATAACAATTTTTTTATAATCCTGGTTACTAAATTAATTAAACCATAATTTCTTATGACTACTAAAAAGACTCTTTTTTAAACATTAGGAAATATTAAAATATGATAAAATTATGTTGCTATAAAAAAGCTATCATCCATGGAGGTGGGCTGGGATGGGAGTAAAAGGCAGAAAACTACTTGAATGCTTAAAATATAAATAAATAAATAAATAGTTTAATTTAATTTTAAAAAGCTATCATCCAGTTATTTAAACAGGGTACTTTATATATCATTTTACTTTTGATATTTAAATGACACAAACCCAAAGAACGATCTCTAAAAATGTATTGTTTTTATTCTCAAAAACAGATTAAAAGAAAACAACATCCATCCAACTAGTCTCAAAAACTAGTAAACTGGTGAGAAACTTAATCATGTCTGTGTGTGTGTTTACACTTTCAAACTTGTACAACGTTAATAGGAAAAACTGAGTGTGGAGTATAGGGGAACTCTGTATTATCACCACAAGTTTTCTGTGAATCAAAAAGAGTTCTATAAAATTAAGTTTTATTTTAAAAATAAACTTAAAAAATGAAAAAAAGTGGCAGATTGTGGAAATCACGAATATGGATATGAATATATTAGAAGAAAGAAAAAACCTCATATGGATGGGTAGTTGGGACTAGGGCTAGGAATAAAACTTCCAATGATAGCATCAAATATAAATTCATCTCAATTTGAGAGAAGGGTGTCTACTTTAGATAACTATGTTAGATAACTATGAAGACTGTCAGATCCTAGTGAAGATGCTGAATTAAAATATTTTTCAGAAATGAGAGAATGGAAAAAAACTATTCCTCAAAGTTCAAGCTTTTGTTTTGGGTGTTTGGTTCTCAGATGACTTTCATATTATTAAAAAAAACTGGCCCTGGCTGATGTAGCTCAGTGGATTGAGCACAGGCCTGCGAATCAAAGAATCATGGTTCCATTCCCAGTCAGGGCACATGCCTGGGTTACAAGCCAGTTCCCAGCAGGGGACGCACAAGAGGCAACCATACATTGATATTTCTCTCCCTCTCTCCTTCCCTTCCCCTCTAAAGATAAACAAATTTTTTAAAACCTTTTTAAAAAGTAGATTAAAAGAACTAAATAACTAAAAAAAACTAAATGAAAGTAGTCCTTATACAGATTAAAAATTAGGAACAAGAATATTATTAATCTCATTGAAAAGTCAAAATCCGAGTTTCTGGACATGATGGAGCATAGGTAGATACACTCTGTCTCCTTGCAAAAACAAAGGTAGGACAACAACAAATTTAAAAACAAAATAGAACCAGAACTGCCAGAAAATCTGTATTAAAGTCTAACAACCAAGAAGTTAAAGTAGAAACATTCATCTAGACCAGGAGGAGACAGGAAGCCAGGGCAGAGAGTGCCCATGGCAAGGCAACAACTGGAAGACTGGAATGGGTAAGGCCACGGCTCATGGACCAGGGTCCCACATTTGCACGCAGATAAGCTGGGAGGAACAACTGAGGAGTGAGACAGACCATGCAACCCAGGGTTCTGGCATGGGAAACAAAGCCTCAAGACCTCTGGCTGTAAAAATCCATGTGGGTTGTGGCAGCAGGAGAAATGGCCAGCCTCACAGGAGAGTTCACTGGAGAGACCCACAGGGTCCTAGAAAATAAACAAACCCACCTACCCAGGGCTCAATATCAGAAAGGCCAAATTTGCTTGTGGGTAGCAGAGGAAGTGACTGAAAGCCGGCTGAGAGCCAAGCAAGTGGAACTGTTTTCACTAGCATCCCTCCCCCACATACGGTGCCACAATGCAACGAAGTAGGTTGCCCACCCTGGAAAATACCTAAAGCACCACCCCTTACATTCTAACAGAGACAAAAAAAAATTACATATGTAAGAACCCATCAAATCTCCAAAAACAGAACTAAGTGATAAGGAGATAGTCAACCTATCCAGATGCAGAATTCAAAACACTGGTAATCAGGATGCTCACAGAAATGGTTGAGTATGGCTGCAAAGTACAGTAAGAAATGAAGGCTATGCAAAGAGAAATAAAGAGAAATGTACAGGGAAACAACAGTGAAGGGAAGGAAACCAGGACTCAAATCAATGGTTTGGAGCAAAAGGAAGAAATAAACATTCAACCAGAAAATGAATAAATAAACAAGAATTCAAAAAAATGGGGAGAGACTTAGGAACCTCCGGAACAACTTTAAATGTTCCAACATCGCAATCACAGGGTGTCAGAAGGAGAAGAGGAAGAGGAAGAAATTGAAAACTTATTTGAACAAATAATGAAGAACTTCCCCAATCTGGGGAAGGAAATAAGACTTTCAGGAAGTCCAGGAAGCTCAGAAAGTACCAAAGAACTTGGACCCAAGGAAGCACACCAAGACACATCATAATTACATTAGCCAAGATTAAAGATAAGGAGAGAATCTTAAAAGCAGCAAGAAAAAGGGAGACAGTTACCTACAAAGGAGTTTTCATAAGACTTATCAGATGATTTCTGAAAAGAAACCCTGCAGGCAAGAAGGGGCTGGAAAGAAGTATTCCAAGTCATGAAAGACAAGGACCTACATCCAAGATTATTCAATCCAGCAAAGCTATTATTTAGAATGGAAGGGCAGATAAAGTGCTTCCCAGATAAGGTCAAGTTAAAGGAGTTCTCTACCACACAGCCCTTATTATATGAAATGTTAAAGGGATTTATCTAAGGAAAAGAATATAAAAACTATGAACAGTAAAATGACAACAAACTCACAACTATCAACGACTGAACCTAAAAAAAAAACTAAGCAAACAACCAGAACAGGAAAAGAATCATAGGTATGGGGATTCTCTGGAGGGTTATCAGCTGGGAAGTGGAAGGCAGTAATGGGGAAAAGGTGCAGGGATCAAGCATAACTGGTGAAACAATATAAGGGAGTGTTACGAATAGTATAGGAAAGGTAGAAGCCAAAGAACTCACATGTATGACCCATGGACATGAACTCAGTGGGGGGGATCACAGGAGGGCAGGGGTACCGGTGGACAGTGGCAAAGGGAAAAAAATTTGGGACAATTGTAACAATATAATCAATAAAATTTACCAAAAAAATTTTTTTAATAAAATATATGTATGCATATAAATTAACAATGTAAAGTTTAACCAAACTGGACAAAAGATTTTAAAATTATCTCAATGATAAAATGTTTCACTTTGTATTTAGTTGGTTTATGTTCAGGCATCTTATGGTAATATGTTCAAATGTAATACACAGTACATTCTTCATAAAGAACCAAGGTATATTAAGGAAAAAGGCTAAATTAAAGCTTTGGTTTAGACACAATGATCAAGAAACAACACTAATTCAACAAACATTTTTTGAGCACCTATATACCAGATACTATTGTAGACATTTAGGATACACAAATAAGCAATACTCCTTCCTCAAGGAGCTTACATGCTAGCAAGGAGAGGAAGGCAGCAAATAATAAACATAATAAACTGGTAAATGCTGTGTATATCATAAAATATGCACTATGGAAAAAGAAAAATTAGAATAGGAAAAGGGTGATAAAAGGAAGATGGATAGGCTGTAATGGTAAACAGTCTGGCTAAAATATACCTCATAAAGAGATATTTAGTCAAGGATTTGAAGAAGGTGAGGGAGTTTCCCATACACAATATGGGGGAAGGACATCCAATTACTGTGTTTTACCATGTATAATACACACCCACATTTTGTGCATATTATGCATGGGATTATTATACCTATTACTATACCCATGGTATGTAACCATTACACATGGCGAAATACAGTATCCAGTACTATACTTAGGTTCATGTCTAAATAATTCCTCTAACAGAAAATGTAAAAAGTACATCTATTACTCTAGTAATATTAAAGCATCTGGCATTTGGACTCAAATATTTCTACAGATAAATACATTCCTTCATACCTTTTTCATTTCATTTTCTAAATTTTCCTCCTCTTGACCTTCAGACAGCCTTCTCCTTAAATCAGCTATTTCCCTCTCTGCAGATTCTCGATACTGTGTCCACTGTGCTCGCTCTTGCTCCAGCCGAAGGTGGAACTGATGCTCATAGTCACGAACTGTTTCTACAAGACACCAACAAATATTTAATGTCTAAGCATTCTGGAAAAAAAAAAACAACTACGTTCTGACACATGAAAATTTAAGTAGTTATATTAAAAGCTTCTGCTTAAGTTCTAGAAATCTTTTAATTCACTAAAAAAAGTTAACCTACATTTCCATTTCTTATTACGTGTAGAAATTTTGCTAAGAACTTTAAGTCATCATCTAATCTTAAAATAAACCTGTGTAATATTATTTTACAGATGAGGAAAGCTTAGGAAAGGTTACATACTCTGGCCAATGTTTCCTTTTCTGAGGCAGACTGAAGTAGGAGCAGTCATTTTTCAGCCATGAAGCAAAATGAGGTTGAAAACCACATACTAAGGATGAAGGAACAGAATGACTGAAGGAGCCTAGAACACTGAGGACATTGTGGAACCACTATAACCAGTTTTAGATTACCTACCTCTGGATTTCTTTTTCTGTAAGGAAAATGAACTCCTATTTTTGTAATCCACTATAGTAAGCATTGTTAGAGGCTCACAGTAATCCGAAGGTGATAGCCACAAACTCAGAAATAGGGCTAAATTTAACTTGCCTTCTCGCAAATAGCACTAAGACAAAAATGACACACAACTGCTAAGATGGAGGGGGGAAGTTACCATATTTTTCGGACTATAAGACACACCCCCAATTTGGGGAGAAATGGGGGTGCATCTTATAGTCCGAATGTAGCTTGCCTGGCTTGCTGTGGGGGTAGGGGGTGACAGTGGAGTGGGGCTGCAGGTTATTAAATATTTTACCACATTTTTTGCTTCAAAAATTTTTCCCCTATTCTCCTCCTCTAAAACCTAGGTGTGTCTTATAGTCCTAAAAATACGGTAACACTATCTCACATTTACAATAAAATTAATTTCAGAAACTCAAAGATTCAGGGGCAACATCATTTCAGTATCATTTTCTCAGAAATTGCAGGAAGTAAGCATTCGTGCCAACAGCAGGTAGACCAAATTACTTCTCTTCCTTTAGACTAAGCCAGCAGTCCATAAATCCTATTTTAACCCACAAGCCATGCTATCATAAACTGCAATGAAAATTGCATATAAAAATCCAAATTTTTCTTAAAAGTGTAAAAGATATGATAACACTGAATTGGATGGACCATAATGAATTGGAACTAGTAAGTGTAAACAGTAAGTTTACTCTTTGCAAAGGAGGTCTCTCTAGTCCCACATTCTCCCTAGTGCCCATACAGCTTTATTCATTGACAGTACTTGCCTGACTCTTGTAAGAAAATCCATTTTGAAGCCCTGCTTTAACCTTGTGATGAACTATAGTTCTCATTTAAAGCAAAATCTTTTTAACCTTCTCATTATATTGGGTTGGCAAAAAATCCGTATGGTTTTTTCCATAAAGTAAGAGACATTTTTCATTTTCACCAATAACTTTATTGATTTGGATATTCTGAGTATGTCGGCTATCTCCCTCATGGTATTCAATTGATTGTTCTCAATTAATGTCTCAATTTGATCGCTATCAGCTTCAACCAGTGTACCTGACAATGGAGCACCATCCAGCACAAAACTTCACAAACCACTTTTGACATGTTCGGTCAGTCACAGCATCTTCTCTATACACTGCACAAATATTTTTTTCTTTTGCATTTCAGTTGCATTTTTACCTTTCTTAATATAATAAACCATATGTCAAAAATATTACTTATTTTCTTCCATCTTCAATATTAAAGTGACTACATAAAAATTCACCAATTTTGTTAAGTTTTTTTTAAACGCATGCTGATGACAGCTATCACAATACAACCTAACAAAACTGTTTCAAATGAAGTTTTTAACTAGAGCTACTAGAGCTACTAGAAGTTTTTAACTAGGCAACTAGAGCTACTAGAATGATCTTTTTTTTAATTTATTTAATTATTGTTCAAGAACAGTTTTCTGTTTTTTACTCCCATCCCAGCCCACCCCCCTAGTGCTCCCCACCTCCCTCCCATTAGAGTCATCTTATGGAAAAAACCAAATGAACTTTTTGGCCAATCCAATAATTTTCCATTATTAAATCTGTTAAAGATACAGATGGCATACCCATATACAATATGACTGACTTTTATTTTGAAAATGACAGTACATCTTGAAGATAGTAATACATAAAGTCACAATTGAAACTCTGAAAATGTTCTCAATAATCAGAATCAGATCTTGGAAAATCATAAAATATCTAACTTTCTTTGCCTTTACCTTTCATAACAGCCTGAAGTGAAGCAACTTCTTCTCTCCACTGTCTTTTTACTTCATCTATAGCTTCTTGTTTGGTATTCTCAGAAACTGTGGCAATGGCCTTAATATTCTCCATCTCTGCTTGGGCTTCCCACAGCTGTGTTCGAAGGTGTCCCAAATCATCTTGTGCAGCTTGTAACACTGCATTTTGTCTCTTCAGATCCTCTGGGAAAAAAGTAAAAAACTTTCTATTAATGAAGGACTCGCATTTATCAGGCTGGCACTGAAATGAAGAAACAAGCACCAAATTTATAATGGTAACATTTTAATAAAGAAGCTAAGCATTAAATTTGACAATTAACTTGAAAATATTTATAAAGGTAAAATTCAAGGTATGCTGGGTATCACAAATAAATTATTAATTATGTAATCAGATAAGGATTAAGGCCATAATTTTAGAGCTAAATTTAAGCCTTTACCCACTGGCTAAATGAGCTTACTTAACCTCCATGGCCTCAATTCCACATCCATCCATACAAAATGGATAAAAATTCTCACCTCAGAAGGCTGTTTCAATGATAAAACAATGTATTAAAAATGCTTACTAGTACAGTGCCTTGCACAAGTAAACATTTAAGAAATGGTTAATAAAAGAAACATGGCAGTTACTGGATACAAGTTTTTAAAGTTAGAATCAACTTCTCAGCACTCCCTTACCATCTTTTAAACATTATCTGGTGTGCCTATAACATGATTTAAGCCTAGGAAGGACATCTGTTTGGCTAACCCATCTTCCAAAAAAGATGAACCTACCAAAAGTATAGAGGGATATGTCTGTTTCCCATACCCTTAGCAATAATCACTATTTTCCATTTTCTAAAATTTTTGCCAACATCATGGGTAGAAAGTGGTAATAGTTTCAATATTTTTAAAAGATCTAATTTATTTATTTTTAGACAGAGGGGGAGGGAGTAAGAGAGGGAGAGCAATATCAGTATGTGGTTGCCTCTGGGGTGCCCCCTACTGGGGCATGTGCCTCCACTGGGAAATTGAACCAGCGACCCTCTGGGTCACAGGCTAACACTCAATCCACTGAGCCACACCAGCCAGGGCAACAGTTTCAATATTTATTTACCTATTAATAGAAAGATTGAGAGTATCTTCTCATATAACTATTAATGACCAGTATTTCCTTTTTGATGATATTTTTCATTTGTATTTCTAATAAGCTGTTTTTCTTCTAATTTGGAAGAGTATTTTATATATACTGGATATTAACTCTTATTTTTTTCTTACATAACTTTCCCTGTCTGCTACTGTTTCTCAACTTCTTTTTGTTTTCTACTGCTATCTAAAAGTTATGAGACATTCATGCAAAAGAACTGTTCATCTTTTCAAAGCTATCAATATCTTTTAGAGAGCAAATAACTAAGTCAACTAGCCACAAACAACTGGATTTGAGATCTAACTGTACTATGTACCAGCTGCATGACTTTAAGGAAATCATAAGCCATTAGGCCAGAATATCGGTAACACCCTTCTGCATAAATTTCTAAGTACATGAAAAAATCAAGTAGATAATATCAATTAAAGTACTTTTAAAAGTTGTGAAGATGTTCATGATTACCAAACACTCACAAAAATTAACAATTTGGTAGTCTAAATAATGGAGAAAAAAACCTAGTCATGCTAATTTTAAGTCATTTAAGAAATCTTTAGTCTCTCAACACCAGTTTCGTATCACTTTGCCCCCACTATCAAAATATTCTGAAATACTAGCCAGAAACAATTATAAGAACATTAATTGCACAAAGTAATTATCTAAAATAACAGTAATTTTCCTTGAAGAAAAAACGAGTATCTAAGAAATTATTGTGTATGACTAAGAATGACGCAGAAACTGAGTAAAGACATAAACACATGAAAACACAAAGAAAAGTGTATCTGTTCCATACACTAAGGGTTAAACTGTTTCAGATAATGTGGAATAAAAGCAAAAGCATTATTTCTAAAATACTTTATTCATTTCTGAGAACTACGATTTTGTCAAGGCTCAAGTTTATATAATTAACACCTCATGTTAATTATCCCCACAACTTTATGACTTACTGGAAATTATCCAGAGCTATTCACCACCATGTTGTCAATATAAACAGAAAAAACACAAATACCAAGCCTAAACATTAATTTTTGGCATGTTTCCACACGGCGGAAAGCCATAAAAAGAGGCTGAAGGAAGACTGGGTCCGGTTTTGGCTATTCTGGCTCCCTAGCTTTTTCATATGAGTTTTAGGATCAGCTTGTAAATTTCTACAAAGAAGAGAACTGATACTAAAAGACTCTGCATTAAATTTGTAGATAAAAAAAAGTGTAGAGCAGGGGAGTATTGCCAACATTAATCTTTGATTTATGGACATGGTATGTCTCTCCAATTACTTAGTTCTTTTTAAAATCTTTAAGTGTATTTGTTTTCAGAGTGCAAGTTTTGCACTTTTTGTTAAATTTATTCCAAAATATATTAGTCATTTTGGTGCTATTATAAATGGAATTTTTTTCTTAAAATTTCATTTTCAGGTTATTCAGTGCAAGTATTATAGAAATAACAACTGGATTTTGCACATTGATCTTGTTTCCTGCAACCTTGCCGAACTTACATGTATGTTAGTCTGAATAGTTTTTAGTGGATTCCACACAATTTTATATACTTAAAATGTCATCTGGGAATAGAAATAGCTTTATTTCTTCCTTCTAGTCTGGACTCCTTTTACTGGGTGTGACGAATGAGGGCTAATTGCTCTCGATAGAACTTCCAAGACCAATGATGAAGCAAACTGCTGTAAGTGGACTCTGCTGTCACTTTGTGAGATGAGTATTACCCTGATTACCAAAACCAACACAGGCATCACAGGCAAAACAGAAACAAAAACAAAAATTTATAGACCAATATTCCTTATGCATATAATGCAAAAATACTCAACAAAATACTAGCAATCAAAATTCAGCATTCAGAATTATATACCATGAGCAATTTAAAGTGTCAATATTGACAATATGATAGAATTTACATCCTTTAAATAATTTTAAATTAGAAATAAATATACATTTAAAGGTTGGATGATCACTAGTGTAGAGCTGTGGTTCTCAAACTGTGGTCCTTGGAATAGTAGTACTGCAATCATCTATGAGCTTAGTAGAAATGCAAATTCTCAGGCCCCGCTGTAACATACCATGTTCTAACAAGTTCTTCAGGTAATTTTTATTATTTTACTTATTTTTAGAGAGAGGAGAAGAGAGGAAGAAAGAGAGGGAGAGAAACATGTTCGAGAGAAACATTAATCATTCGCCTCTCACATATGCCCAACTGAGACCTGGCCTGCAAACCCAGGAATGCACCTCGACTAGGAATCAAATCCGCAACCTTCCAGTTCACAGACTAGTGCTCAATCCACTAAGCCACACCAGCCAAGGCTCCAGATGATTTTTATCCACGTTAGTGTTTGAAAGCCACTGATCCAGAGGGCTATGAAAACCATACCCATATTTTACTGGTTCAGTACCCAAAATGTAAGCCCTTTCCCTTATCCTTCAGACAAGGTCACTCACGATAGGCTCTCATGTATCTGCTTTTTTAAAAACAATTCACAATTATTTAATATCTATATTTTTCATGAGAGTTCAAATTCTTTGAGTTAAAGAACCACATGACTCTTGCTCCTTCTGTATACCCAGCACCTGAACACAATGTCTGCCTCACAGTAGGTATTAAACAAATATTTATTAATAAACAATTGAACATTTATTGGATAAATTCCATAAACTATCAGTTTTAACATAATATGGCTAAAGCTATTACTAGAATGCCAACAGTCCTGATTTGCCTGGGATTATCTTTCAAGTGTTAAGAGAACTGAAAGTCCTGTGTCCCAGAACTATATAGCCCACTACTATATTAAATACCATCATTAAGATCAAAAGAGAAGAAAAAATCTGAATACATTTTTAGGCTTGTTTTTCAGTTCCATTCTTAACCCTTACCACTAAATAGGCTTTTATTATACAATGTGAGTATAAATAAAATCAAGGTTTATTCAATGGCAACACTGTACTACCAAGAAACCCGACATTTTTTTAAGGCGGTTTCAGTATGGGGTATAAGAAAAGACATAAACTTACCCTCTTTAGCCAAATATAACTCTTTAAATTTTGCTCTCTTTTGATTAAATTCTTGCTCAAGCTGCTGCTGTGCACGTAAAAATTCAGCATTAATTTTTTCCAATTCTGCTACCCGTTGCTGAAGAGAAACTGAAAAAAAAAAAAGATACTAGTTAACATGCAGTAACTTTCATTTTTAAGTTATTACAAGTATAAATTAGTATTCCTGCTGTACATTTCTATAATGAAACAAGTAGTTAAGCTTCTTCCAAAGATCTAATATATTCTAGGAAGTTGTAACTTAAAAAAAAATACTCCTATTACACTTAATACACACACACCATGAATGAATCATATAAAGTGAACAGCCTATATATGGAGAATCACATACTGAAAATTTCTCAAAACAGAGCTTTGAAGTCCCTTTAAATGTCTGACAGAATTGTTGGCCCACTTCTGGAATTGTTAAATATTAAATTATTTGGGCTATTTCTCCCACAAATGAACCCACTGCCAATCTTCCTAGCTCCTGTTTCTCTCAAGTGTTGTTATAAGCAAAATCTAACAGGTTCCCTGATTAGCAGAGCTGCACCAGCCTGAACCACTCTCCTAATTTCAAGATGATTCCTCACCATTATACTCAAATCACAGTAAAACTCTTTCATATTGAAAGGATGCAGAACTGAATTTTCCTTATGAACTTTCAATTACCAGGAGATCAGTTTTTTTAGATTAATGTTGACTGTGGTGTGGCAGAAATTGGGACACATTTGTTTACTTTAGCAGCTCTACAACTTGGCCACAGCTGACTATCTATCCAGACCAAACCCAGAGACTCTTCTGATTCAAGCAAGGGGTGGGAAATTCAAGAGTCCAGCCCTTGACCTCCTCATGCCCAGGCAGCAACCCAGCCACAAAGCTATAACCCTGACCCTTCTAGAGGATACCTATCAGTACTAATGTCACTGCATAATTACCTAAGCCAGCTGAGATCCCACCCAGTTCCCTAACACAAACCAACCCTAGATAATGATGATTTGTCTATAATTTTAACCATGATCTGCAATTATCTCTGCAGGTCCTCCCTGCACTCAACCCCTTACTCAATTTAATTGACAGCTAATTTTATAGTACATAGAAAAAAGACTAGAAAAATGCACCAATGATTTACCTATTAGTATTAGAAGTATGACTCATTAATTTCTTCCATTACAACTTTCTTCAAAGTTCTTTACAACTCCTTTGATAATCAATAATGATCTAAAACCAGTATGTTTATCCCCATTACATTTTCAGAGTAGCCTCACTACAGATCTAACAGTACTGATGCAATTCATGGAAGAATACAGAAAATGATCGCAGCCTTGAGTCCCATGTCATTAAAGATAAAGAGTCATTTTGTGGAGCAAATATTAGGGTCTTTAAGTCAAAGCAAAGAATGGCATCTGGTCATTTGAACATTTGATAACAGAGAAAAAGAAGAATGGAAAATTGACTGGAATGGGGAAATGTGCAGTTTTCTCATATTTGCCATTGAAAATCACGAAGGAAACTTGTTTTCTGTGCTATTAATTTCTCTTGTATTTTTACTGTACAAATCCAATTGTTAAACAAGTTTTCCACCTAACACTTTAATATTACTGACAACTACTGATTACTATATGAGATAGAGAAGGACTCCATTCCTACTTCCACCAAAACACACATATATAAAATACCCATACCTTTCAACATAATATTTATATTTAAAAACTGAGGCTAATGAATCAATAAAAACTAAAATTCAGCCTTTAAAATTGCAGACACAGTTAAGTGTATTTTCACTATTCCCAACCCTGCCCTGGCTCTGACCCAGGTTCAGATGAAGTCTACACCTGCATGTCTGGCTGCCTCTCTCCTGGTTTCAGGATAGTTTTCAATTCCAGGAATCATGATCCCTTTGAGGATATAGCAAGTAATTCACTTATTCCAATTTTTTTAATTAAAAAAATTTAATTTACTTCAAGTACTTCTAACAATTCCACAATACAGAAAAAGGCCAAAACAACTGCTTTTTACAAGAATGCCTCTACTGCTATATCTGGAAAAAATCAATTCATCTTGAATAGACAACAGGAAAGTTTACAAATAGTCACATTCTAATGCACTAGCAACCAACTACAAATCAAGCTGAAAACAGCTCTCATCACACAAAATGCTGTATTATTTTTCTAACATGTAACTAGTAAGTAGTTCATAATAATTAGCTAATAGTTTATTAAAAATTACTTAGCCTGGCATATAGAAAAAATTGTTAGCTATAACTATTAAATTAGTGATATTTATTTAGTAAATAAAGAAAAAAAGAGTGATCAAGTGACTATACAGAGCTACAAAAGACCAGAATTCACTTCCAATCTCATTATTCTGACTCAGTTCCATGCTTACACATCCAGTTCATACCCTTCCCTATTACTATGTATCTTCAAAGCATCATAGATAAATTAATTAATGTTAATATTAACCCTCAACACTATTAAGCTTTCTATAACTTAGCAGCTAGAGCTATTAGTATAGCTCTTCATTAAGCATTCCATACATTCTTTATATTGTTACCTTTACCTGAGTAATAAGAAAAAAAGGGGGAAACTACCTTATGCAATTACTACTTTTAACACTTTTCCAAAAGGAAAAATGAATAGTAAAATGGCAGTAAATATGTACCTATCAACAAATTAAATTTAAAAAATAAGACACACAAGCAGAACAGAAGCAAGTTCATAGATGCCGAGAACATTTTGACAGTTGCCAAATGTAAAACAAGCTCAGGGGATGAGAAAAAAAGGTGAAGGGGGACTTCCGCCAAGATGGAGGCATAGGTGGATGTGCCGTGCCTTCTCACACAACCAAGTTTAGAGACAACTAAATATTAGCAACAGAAAACACAGCCAGAACACGGAAAATTGAACTTTTCAGAAGTCCGTTAACAACAAATTCTTCAGCCTGACTGGTCAGGGGCGAAACCAGCGGCTGGTGAAGCGGGATTGCACAGGAGGTCTCGGTCAGCAGGACTCAGGCGCGGAATCCAGGCACAGCGTTGGACCTAGTGAGCGACTGAGCGAGCCACCAGGCGAGCGACCTCGGGGAAGACAGCGGGGGAGCGGTGCTGCGTGTTGACTGTGGTCGCGCATTTGTGCGCAGGCGGACAGGCGAGGGAGTGGGCGGTTGGACCGGGGCCCGGCGGGTCCCCACGGCAAGTGGCAGTGGAGGGCGCCACCATTTCCCCGCTCTGACCCCACCTCCACATACAGCGTCATATCCCAGCGACTCTGAGTGGCCCGGCCCAGGTGAACCACCTAAGACACTAATCCTCACCCAGCTGTGAGAAACAGCAGAGGGGGTCACCATTTCCCCGCTCTGACCACGCCCCCACATACAGCGTCACAACCCAGCGACCTGGGACTCCAAGGCGCCGCTTCTCCCACTTAAAGGGCCAGAACAGACCAAAAATGTCGCAAATTCTCAAAATCCCTGAGCCCATAGATCTAAGCGATGAAGAAATACCAAAACTCTCAGACGCACAGTTTAAAACACTGGTCATCAGGATCCTCACAGAACCGGTTGATTATACCGACAAATTAGACAAATATATGAAGGCGAAACTAATTGAAATGAATGGAATTGCACAGGAAACCAATAGCAATGAAAAGGAAACTGGGACTCAGATCAATGGAGTGGACCAGAAGAAAGCAAATAATGGCCAAACAGAAAAGAGTCAAGAAGCAAGAATTCAAAGAAATGAGGAGAGTCTTAGGAACCTCCAGGACATCTTTAAATGCTCCAACATCTGAATTATAGGGGTACCAGAAGGGGGAAAGGCACAGCCACCAGTGGAAAACTTATTTGAACAAATAATAAAGGAGAATTTCCCCAATCTGGCAAAGAAAATAGACTTCCAGGAAATCCAGGAAACTCAGAGAGTCCCAAAGAAGTTGGACCCAAGAAGAAACACACCAAGGCACATCATAATTACATTAGCCAAGATTAAAATGAAGGAGAGAATCCTAGAAGCAGCAAGAGATAAGGGGACAGTCACCTACAAAGGAGTGCCCATCAGACTGTCAGTGGATTTCTCAAAAGAGACCTTACAGGCAAGAAGGGGCTGGAAGGAGGTATTCCAAGTCATGAAATCCGAAGACCTACAACCAAGATTGCTCTATCCAGCAAAACTTTCATTTAGAATGGAAGGACAGATAAGGTGCTTCTCAGATAAGATCAAATTCAAGGAGTTCATCATCACCAAGCCCTTATTATATGAAATGTTAAAGGGACTTATCTAAGAAAAAGAAGTTAAAGAAACATGAACAGTGAAAGGACAACAAACTCACAGTTATTAACAACCACACCTAAAACAAAAGCAAACTAAAAGGACAGCTAGATCAGGAGTGGAAACATAGAAATGAAGATCTCAAGGAGGGTTAGCAACAGGGGAGTGGGAGGAGGAGAAGGGGGGAGAAGGTACAGAAAATAAGTAGCATAGACAGTAGATAGAAAATAGATGGGGGGGCCAAGAATAGCATGGGAAATATAGAATCTAAAGGAATTGAGACACATGGTCATAAACTAAAGGGGGGGTAATGGTGGGGATGGGGGGTAGGGTGGAGGGGAATGAAGGGGGGAATAGAACAACTGTAACAGCATAATCAATAAAAAAAATTTTTTTTTAAAGTGAAGGGATTAAGTACAAATTGGTAGCTACAAAATAGACATGGGGATGTAAAATATAGAGTAAGAAATATACAATAATATTGTAATAACTATGTATGGTGTCAGATGGGTATGAGATTTATCAAGTTGACCACTTAGTAGTCATATAACGTCTAATCACTGGGTTGTACCCCTGAAACTAATATAATATTGGATGTCAACTGTAACTAAAAAATAAAAATCATTTAAATTTTTAAAATGTCTAAATTAAGTAACAAAAGAGAAAGCAGAGGAAAAATAGAACATGATAAATAAGTGAAGGAAAGACTTACTAATTCTCAGCTATATCTCCTTCCCTAATTTTGATATGAATGGGAGAATATATAACAAAAATATTTTTAAGCCCCAAGCTGTGTCCTACTACTATATTCTTCTAACACTGCACTAAATTTGATGAAACAAAA